ATGTCAAGAAACTAATTCATGGTCTTTTTGCCTTCCTGATACTTCTTAGAAGTCTTCATCCACTGCTGAGTCTTGGTGCACCTGGCACATGAGTAAGTGCATGAGCATAAAAGCTGAACAAAAGGTCCCAGTTAAGAAGATCTAGGCAGGGTGTTTGGCACAGCCTACTACATGCTTCCTACCTGAGGGTGATTAATAAGAGATTTAAAGAAAGTAGCTTAAAGAATGGATTTCTTGAGCACCTGATTTGCAGAAACGAAAAAGGAGAGGTTAGTGCTTCTCTTTGGCATGCCTTCTGTTCATGGTTGTTCTCTGGATTTTATCCCTCCGTTTATAGTGATAGTGCACAAGGTAATGGTATTTATATGGTCATAATGTTACTGCGAGATAATCTAGCAACACTTACAACAAGTGGCAAATTGCTTGCACTTCATTTGATATTGATTGTAAAAACATTAATCATGGTGAATTCTTTTGGTATTGCTCATTTGGATGTAAGATGTAGTAGTCCCATCCGTAGCACTGAATAATTTTGGGGGTAGATCAAAGTCATCTAAATATCACCCTGATTGTACTTCAGTGCTCACGGTGCAAGAACACAAGAAGAGAGGAAAAATGAGCCTTAATTTCAGGGTTTAGGAGGACTTCATCAAATGCTTTTGGTGTGGCATTGGATTAATCAAGCAGAGCTGTTTGTCCACTTGGCTGGTACTCAGCTTTGACACTCTGCATTTCTTTCCTGCATCTTTTCCTGTCAGTGCAGTGAGAGGGGGCTTGTGCAGGTGTGCCTTGTGCAGGTGATGGGGGCTGAGATCTGAGGTGGAGACAGGTATGTCTATAGGTCCTGTTCTCATTCCCATGCACCTACTACTGTTGTCTGTGTCAGGCCATAACCCAGGCAAATGGTGGAGTCACCATCCCTGGTAGTGTTCATGAAATGTGTAGCCTTCCCACCAGCAGATAGGTTATAACAGCAGATGGGCCACTATTGCTATAAGCTCTACTTGAAAAGACTCTAACTAGGCTTCATCTTACAGTATTTCTGCCTTCTGAACTTTTATTTTCTTCTGAAGTCTTCAATAATAAATCAGTTCTCCAACTTCATCATTGACACTTAGGCACATTTAATTTACAAATACTGTCAGGAGAACCTATTCATTAGCTGTCTGACTCCAGTAAGCTCAGCAGCTAATTCATCTCCCGCATAACCTTGGCATTAGTGGTTTAAACCCTTTTTGCCTGTATGAAGGGTTGGCACCATTCAGGACAAGTAATTTAGATGTGCCACTGACTGAAAACTTTTGGACGTGGCTAGTTTAGAGATTGTTTTTTGTCCAGTGCTGTGCTTAGCTATTTAAGATGAGCATTAACTTCTTGTGGCTCTTATTTGTGCCATTCTGGACCATCTTTTGCACCAGAGATAATAAAATGGGTCACAGATGTTAATATAAACTCTTTGCAACTTGACCCTGTTGAATTGTGGCTTTGCTATTTAAGGATATACTTGGATAGTCAAAATCACAGGAGCGTAGATAAGTAGTGGCATGAATGAAATAGCTGACTAATGCATTAGCATTTTCTTAGCCATTTCTCAGATGGAAAACAAAGATGAACTTGGTATTTTATGGCAAGAGTCACAGCAAATGCCCATAGAGGGGGTGAAAAAATCAATGTTTTTCTCTTCTCTACTTTTATTTGAAGGTTGTTTCCAAATCCACCTGCTTATTGCAGTTTTTGTTGATTGCCTGCTATTTCTAGATTCCTAGAGTGGAAATAAAGGCAAATGATCTGAGTCTCTATGCTGTAAAAATGCTACTTGGCTTCTCTGGAAAGAAGGTGACTTGTGGATTTCCTAGGTTAGAAGAAAAGGTAGAGTTAATGTAGGAGGCAGCAGATGTAAGAAGTGCTACCTACAAAGCTCCTCTCCCATCTCATACACTTTAACTGGGTTTTCCTACACTCTGTTGGGACTTGAATTTGGGGGAGAACTCTCATCTCTTCATTATGCTGTGATGAGTTTGGGTTTTCAGGTATGCGGAGAGATGCAAGCTCGAAGCATCTCCCTTGAGGCAGTGGAGATGAGCAGTTTGGTCTGGACATTTGCAGGTGTATTAATCTCATGGAAAACTCAGGGGGAACTTTTGAGAAACTTGGGCCTGAAGAGCATCCGCAGGCAGGATGAGAGGTCCTAGCACTGCTTGCTAGTCTACGGGATGGAAATAAATGGCACCGTGTTAAATGACCATGAGTCATGATTAAATGCTTACGCTGTACTCTTAAATGGAACCCTCTGTACCTAGAACACTGGGATGGGATATTAAATTAATCATAGACTTAATACTGCTAAGCCTCATTCTGTACTCTTTTTTCCCCATTGCAGTCCTTTCAGATGTGCTGTCTGTTCAGAGTGGAGAGCATCAGGCAGCTGCAATGGGTGATGACTCCTACTCTGCCTACAGGGTCAGTTTTATGGAGGAAAACTCCATAGGGAGGAGAACAGAGATGGGGCTCCCAGTTGATGGCACATCTTGTCTGCTAGTATTTTTTTAGAGTGCCTTTCATAGCTCGTTCTGCAAGGTCCCCTTGAAGGGTGTTGGGGTTTAGAGCAAGGGTGGCTAGTTGCCATATGCCAAGGGGCTACTTGCTCCCTACCAGGGATAGGCCATGAATGCTACCTGGTGAACCCTGGTGGTTCAGACCCAGGAATGGGATCCTTCCCTAGGGCAGTTGTCCTGCTGGCTCTCCAGGTGTCACAGGAAGTAAGTTCCCCTTTCCAGATCCCTTTTGTGGATGGAATCTGGCCCCTGAGCAATCATGAGGCAGCCCCTGCTCTGAGGAGGAGGTTCAGATAAAAGATGCTTTGTTTTCTCTTCGGTCCTGCCTAGGCAGCTGAGATCTGTAGCTGGCAACGTGCCTAGCAGGCGTCTGGGGAATTGGAGGCTTGTTAAGTCTGACAACTGTCCTGTGAGCTTCATTGTTGGTGTTTCTTATCAGTTGGCTGCATAAGGTAGTTGTGTTGATTGCTTTGCATCATCCATGCCCCTTGCTTGCAACTATATTCCCTTGTTCTTGTTCTCTAAACACCATTAATTGCAGGGCTTCCAAGTGAGATCTGGGAGTCAGCATCTGCTCTCCTGGGGGTCCACATTCAGACTGCTAATCAGGTAGGACATTTATTAGAGTTGAGGCTTGCTGTTTAAGGTGTTTAAAGAATGTTTGTGTTGCAGATGGGTAAGACATACCTGTACCTTGAAACTGTGAATGCTATTTCATGGAGTCTTATGACTCCAGTACCAGGGTCTTTTGGTAAAGCAGGTCCCATGGAGCTCAGGGTAAAATGGAAATCATGGATATGGTCTGTGCTTCTTCCTGAAAAGGCAGGGATACTCTATTTTCCTTGAAATCACCAGGTAAAAATGCTTCGTTCTGTCTGACTGGGCTGGGAGGTTTTCTGGTCACAGGAGCCACATAAGCAGGAGCTCAGATAGGATACCAAGGTTGTGCAAAGAGCACCTTGGACCCTGAAGCAGCAACATGGTGTGAAGGAGCAAAAAAGGATGATTCTGCATTACAGGGCCTGTTGTTTGGACCTCTTGCATGCTAAGAGAATGGGAGATGTGTTTTGTTCTTGAGAGGTTCAGGCATCTTGGTAAGCCCTAGAGGTGTTGCATCTCATACCTCAAAGCCTCAAAAAGGCTTTGTGGAATAACATCAGATAAAATGATTGATATGTGCATATTTTCTTCAATTTTTTTCAAGTATTAAGAACTTCTTCCACCTTTTGCTCAGCAATGATGTAATATTTTAGGATGGAGTAAGGAGCTTGTTTTTTCCTGGAGATGAATTGCGAAGGCACAGATTTCTTTCAAAAGCACTTCATCTCTCTGCAGGTTCAGACTTGATCAACTTGTCCTTACTGGCAGTGGAATTTCTGGAAGGGTCTGTGATGTGGCCCTCAGCACTTGTCTTTGTGCAACGTAGATCTCTGTTCTTGATGACCAGCTGTGTTGACAAGGATCTCTGCTGAAATTAGCTTTTATTTTAGCAGACCCCAAACAGACATGATGAGGTGTCGCGAGGAGGGAGAATTGGCTCTTCAGGTAAACCTCAAGGGACTAATTCTCATCTTTCCTTTGTACTTGGGTGAATTAAGCAGATAAACTTTGGAAAATAAAGGTGAATTGATGTGCTGGTGCCATTCAGCTTGAGATACTACTCTTCTGTGCCAAGTTAGTTAACTAACAAATGGTTCTATCCTTTTTTTTTTTTGGTAAAATGAGCCAAGCTTGCATAAAATCAGTTGAGAGCAATGGGAAGTGGCCTGGAGGCTTTAGTTAGTTTTGGCTTAGCTTGCTCCAAGATGATTTGCAGGCTGAAAGTGTCAGGAAATGTCAAAACCCACCTGAGATATAGTTAAATTGGATCATTGGACTTAGACTGCTGTACCCAGCAGGTAAGGAAGAGATGACTGAGATTCATCTGGATGTGGTGGTGTGGGGCAAGACCTGAAATAAGGGTAGCATGTATAGGGCAGATAGCTGTTCAGAGGTGTTGATAACATTGGTGATACCTTTGGGTTTCCATATGTGTGTTTCAAAAGATGGGTAGAAAGTTTCTGTGCTGGTTTGCTCTACTCCCTTTTACTTCTTCACAGAGCAACCCTTCTCAGATACTACAGTCATACTTTTGCTCTTGGTTTGCTTTTATCCCTCCTCTCTTCTCACCTGTCTCAAGACTCTCAGTTCAGGGATTCTGAAGGAATGGTTTTATTTCCCTTGAGATCCAAAGTGAGTACATAGAATAGTTATCCATCGATGAGATGCTGAAATCACTGAGAATACTTCACTCGCAGCAAGCCTATAATGTGTTATTAAACATACTGTTTAAGGTAAATGAAAAGGCTGGCCAATATCCAGTCTTAAAAAGGAAAAGATATGATCAAAGGGAAAATGTATTGTGAAAAAAATATACACCTTTTAAGGGTTTTTTTCCACATTTAGAACTGCCAGTTGGTCAATCAAGAGGCTTCATTTGGCTGACAGTGAATTGGTGCCTTATGGAATGGTGTGAGATCTTACATTCACTCTGAATACACAAGAGACATCTTCAAAGATACGCTGAGTTTTGTAAGTCTGGTGGCTTGGCATGGAATTGCATCTTGGGCTGGAAAAGGGTTTCCATTCCTTTTGGTGAGCTCTGGTTCCACTGACATCCTGAATTACACAGGTTTTCTGGGGTATTTTGGCGTCTGTGTTTGTTTTACTCTCCCCTCTTTCCTTGCTGTAAATTACCCTGTGATTTTGAACCTGTTGGCTGAATCTGACCATGTTAAATGTGATCTGTCTCCATGTTCAGCTAACATATCCTATAATGAGGCTAAGTGGCCAGGTATGAGAGGAAGACCTTATTAGAGCTATAAGTGTTTGTAGCGTGAGCTCCATTTTTATTAGATTCCAGTGCATTTAAGGTGGGAAGAGTTGTTACAAGTGCACTGCATACACACAAAAAAACCCTCCAATGAGTCCATTAGGTATCAGAATAGAGCCAAGAGCTGCAGGGCCAAAGGCACCAGGCTGCTGTCATTGAGTTCTTGCAAAGATGTGCTTCTCTTCAACAGTAGTGTTGTCGTGCAGGCACTGAAGGAGATGAGTCACAGAATCATAGAGTTCTTAAGGCCTGTTCCAGGGCTCTGTCACCCTCACTGTCAAGAATTTTTCCTTAAGTTTCTGTGGAACTTTTGGTGCTTCAGTTTGTGGCTGTTTCTTCTAGTTCCATCAGTGGCCACCACTGAAAAGAGGCTGCCCCATTCTCTTCACTGCCTCCCTTGAGGTATCTATAGACATTGATCAGATCCCCTCTTGCCATGGAGTGGAGGGGGTGGAGTTAAGAGAAAACAGGTCCCTGTTCGGGGTGGCAGGAGAATCCTGTCCTGGCCCACTTCACCCACTACAGGTGACCACGTTCAATCGGTGTCAGGCCCTGGAACTTGAGGGCCAGCATAGGAGGTCACGGATCACGACCCATCTAGGGGGTTGTTTAAGGGGAGGCAGTCAAGCCCAAGACTTAAGATTGCCTCTACTAAGAAGAAAAGAAGGGGAATTGTTGTGGGTGACCCCCTTCTGAGGGGAACGGAGGGCCCCATGTGCCAAGCGGACCCTTTCCACGGGGGGATCTGTTGTCCCCCTGGGACCTGGGTTAGAGACATGAAAAAAAGGCTCCCGGGTCTTATACAGTACTGAGTGCTACCCACTTTTGCTATTCCAGGTCTCTTTCCCAAAATAACTACCGATAGGACAAGAGAAAGTGTCCACAAGTTGTGCTGGGGATGTTCAGGTTAGACATTAGGAAGCATTTCTACATGGAAAGAACAGTCAAGCATTGGAACAGGCTGCCCAGGGAAGTGATGGAATCACTGTCCCTGGCAGTGTTGAAGAAATGTCTAGATGAGGCACTCAGGGACATGGTTTAACAGGCAGGTTGGCCTGCAGGATTTATGGTTGGACTTAATGATCTTGAAGGTCTTTTCCACATAATGATTTAACTTTATGTGTAACTTTGCTTGTATCTCTTTCCAAAGGTTGTCCATTTTTCCCACAGTGCTTTCCTGCAGCTTCTTGCATCCTAGCGTTCTGATGTCCCTTCCTTCCTCTTACATCATAGTGTTCTGATGTCCCTTCCTCCCCGTGGCTCTCCTGTGTTTTAAAAGCCCCACTAATCTCCTACTGTCTCCATTTGCTCTTCCTTTCTGCTCTCAATTGCTCCAAGATGAGGAGTTGTAGCTCCAAGACACTTTCCTAGTCCTGTGTCCTTCATTCAGCTGTCCTGGACCCCCAGGGAGTGCCATTTATGTGCTTATCTGTGTTGTAGAGCCATTACAGGTTTAGCTAGAGACAATCTCTGTATAGACTATACATATATAGCTGGACATAGCAGGAGTGTTTCTAGTTAGTGTTTAGTTGCCTTGTGGGTTTTTTGTGTTTTCTGATAGTGGCTTTTAAGTAATTGTGGTAATGAAATTTGAATCAACTCTGTTTTGTTCTTACTGAGCTCTTCTGCAGCAATGCAAGTGTTACAGCTCTGACCAACTGCTTTCTAAACCTTGTCATTCAGAATAACAAGGGAACATTTTTCCTCTGTTTGCAGACAGTCGAGATGCTGCCTCAGAGCATTCCTCCTTTTTAGGTTGAATGAAAGAAGTTTAAGAAACTTCTATGGGATCAACAACAAGTTTTCATTCTCATGCAAAAAGCTTATAAGGATTATGGCTTATTGTTCTTTAGTACAACAGTGGGCGTTTTCCATAAACTAGGTGAAAAACACTTCCTTTTTGGTAGGCCAGCTAACTTTTTGACTGACATATTTAATTGAAAAAAACATAGGATCCAGGGGCGTCATCTTTATAGTCCCTCATTACCTTCAACTGAAAGCAAGAGGAAAAGAAAAGTGCTAGGAAAGCCAAAAAGATTCAGGAAACTAGAAGTGAATGTTGCATGTCATGGTTATGTAAGAGCTTTCCCTCCTTCAGTCTTCCGGCCTATTTTGATGTATTTTTTCACTGGTCTACAAACAGTTTTTTTCTTTTTATAAAACAGCATGAAAATGTAATTAAACTGGAAGGAAAGCAAGTCTAACACGTGTGTCTTCTGTTGGTTGTCTGGGTTTGCAGAAGAAAGCCCCACCAGTTGAGTAGGGTGAGCAGTGGGATTGCACTCAGACTGCCTGAGCAGGCTGTGTGAAGAGTTGATATTAATAAAAACGCCTTTGGGTTTTAGATGGGGAAGCAGGCTTGCTGGCATGACATGAAAGCCATGCTGCAGGCCAAATTCTGTTAGAGATACAAGCCCAATTTGAGGAACATATTTATGGATCGATTTGGGTGTGAGGGGAATACTTCATCCCAGAAATACTTCATTTCTTCCTCACAGACATATGAGGATTGTCTTCTTGGATGGACCCCTCGTCAGCCTGGCTTGCGTCACAGGTTGTAGTGAGTATGTGTTTGAGCTCCCCCTCTTTTCACATTTGCCCCTGTAAACTTGCTCCTGACAAAGTTTATAGGCAGCCTAAAGACTTCATAGCAAAACAAGAAGTGTGAATCCTGTGAAAGGATTATCCTCAGCTTAAACCTACCCATTTGGTATCTCACTGGTTTTTGATGATGGTGAAAGATCCTGTTAAACCATTTCTTCAGGCTTGAGTAAGCTCCAACTTTGTGGGGGTTTTTTGCTGCATCCTAATTTTATATGTGTTGATGGTCTTTGCTGTGAGCATGAAAAGGACTGTTGAAGGGCAGCTGTTCCCAGGGGAGCAACCTAGTTGTGCTGGGTAGAAGCTTCCCATAGTAGCACCGTACAGTGAGCCCAGTCCAAGAACAAGAGATGTTTCACTCCCTCGCTAGGGCTCTAGAACTACATGAGTTTCTATGAAACCACTGTGTTTAACTATAAATTGTAGTACTCTTAAATCAGTTAAGAGTACTTTGCAGTCATGCTCTGCTAGGGTCTTTGCCATACTTAGTGCAGAGATGTGGGCAGAAGTGTGGGCCTTCTAGAAGAGATGGACAAGGTTTTTTTTTCTTGTTGTTTTATTTTTGTGGAAAAATGAGCAGTGGAGATCTGCAATTGATACAGTCCTCTGTTTCCTTGGGGCTGGTAACGAAAATGAGAAGTGGTCGCAGTGCAGAATGACAGCAGATCGCCTTGAGCCTGGTACCTGGTTGGTGATGCTACCTCCTTCTGCTGGAAGATGACACTTCTGCTCTCTAGGCCCACAGATGATGTGACAGTTGTCTTCGAGACCTTCCTCAAAGGCAAACCTTGCAAGCAGGATCTAAAAATACAGGTGTAGTTATTTTTATAGCGCACTCTTTGGCGGTGAGTTGTAACTTTCTACTAATAAGCCATGTATTTTACTCAACTCTGTCACTTGAGAGGCATCAATGAGCAGATTTGTCCATGAGAAATGGATCACTTAGTTCATTGAGAAATAGGTCGTTTGGCAAAACAGGTGCTTGAATCAGGCCTGCTTGCTTTCCAGGGTACAACAAATCCCCAAATTTGGGATTTGGGATCTGGGAAGTGACCTCAGGCATGTTGAAGACTTCAGGTTTTGAAGGAGCTCTGCTGCTGATCCTGACTCCATGGTACCACATCTAAATACCATCCAAATTTACCACAGCTAAATATGTGGCAGGTCTGCAGCCCAACATGACAGGGACTGGCTCTCTTGGGGTTCAGTTGCTGATTTTGGGGCTAAGAAGTTCTTGCCTTGCCCTTAATTTATCACTGGCTAAGAGTGAAGGATGCTGCAATGTTTGTTTTTCTGGCAGGAGGGCTGTGGGTTATTTGGAGTCCAGTTCCTGCTATGACAGTCGGTTTTAATTTCTCTGAGTGAGCAATCTCTCCTCGCTGACACTTCTGTGTTTGAGGAATATGCACCGTGACTGAGGAGGAGAAATCATTAGCTGTGGCACAGCCTGGACTGCATCCCTCAATAGATCTTTCCAGTTTGTTTTCCCTCTTGCTCTCCCACTTCAAGACCTATGCATCTTGCCTTACTTCTGGGCAGTCACAGTGGAGTAATGTGTTCAGATGTAAACATTTTCTTATTTTCATTTTTTTGGTAAACTCTCTCATTAACCTTTTTAAGTGCATAAATGAATGTCTATTTTTCTGGGTTTTTTTGCTTTTCAAAGCTCAGACTTGCTGAGCACTGGAATGCTTTAGCTTAGAGGCCTAAAAATAATCCAAAACCATTGCACGCCAGAAAACTTGGCTGAAGAAGCAGTGTTTGGAAGCAGACACATGTTGTTCTACCCTGTATTTCACAACAGGGGGAGCAAAATAAGCAGGCTGTGCTACCTGCCTAGCTTTTGGGTGGAAAAAGTGAGGGAAATAAATGCTGATAATGACCCTTTGCTGGAGGTCACATAAAGATTAGGGGCTTTATCACTGGGGACCTTCTGAGCAGTTGTTGGATGACGTGGGCCGTAATGTTCTTGTCCCAGTTGAGAGCAATC